TGGCGGAGGGTTCGGAGGTGGATTCGGGGGAGGGTTTGATGGGGGGGTTTGGGGGAGGGTTAGGCGGTGGATTTGGAGGCGGTGGGTTTGGCGGAGGGTTCGGTGGCGGGTTGGGGGGTGGGGTGCGGGCGGGGGCGTGGCGGCGGCGGGCCTGTGCAGACAATGTCGGCATAAGTACACTAACAAGGCGGGGCATTTAGCAAGCAGTTGCTTTAATAGCTAGGATAGGGGCGAATGACTTCGTATCATCAGTCTGAGCGCGTTGATACAAAGGTGTTTGGGTCGAGGTTGGTGCCAGAAAGGCTCTCCTGCTGCCGTGATGACTCGAAGGTTGAGAGGTGCAGTGATCCTTCAAAACCTGTGACGATCTGACGCCAGGGCTGCACATGACAATGAAAACTCGGAATATATACAACAATACCGACTCTTCTTGCTTCCGTAAATCACAACCTCTGAAGTCTTTGGTCCTTTCCGTGTAGCATCGTCGGCAATGAGAAACAAACCATGATGGTTGCATGGTGTGTAGGCTATCCCGGAGGAGTCTTACAACCCTACGCTCACAGCCTTCTCTAGTTGGTGGCCACGAAACCATTTTCACGTTTAGCCTCTCAAAAACCTACAGTCGACTCTCACGGATTCGCTTTTTCTCGGAGCTCCGTGTGGTGCAATGACATTGCTAGCATTTGCGGCCCGCAGAACTCGCGAGGCCCGGAACGAGCTAGTACGTCGGATAATCATTTACTTGGAGATCAACTAGTGCAACCTTGGAAACACCCGTGAGGGGGCCAACCGGTCGTGGTGTGATGACACCTGAGAAGGACTTACTGTACAGCTGTCGTATCGACACGTCGTCGACGGTCAATCCCGCCGACCCAGACGTGTTTGACGTCAAGTAAACGGCCGTTCGAGCTGACGTCGCTTGGAACGTAAACGTGAATCGACTCCAAGCCGTCCCCTGCGTGCTTCCATTGATAGAGTACTGATCGTTGCCCAATCCCCGGGAGTCGGACAAGAGGACCGACTCCCCCGAAATGTCAAACAGGTTGACCGTCGCTGTCTTTACGTCGGGGCCCCCGCTGGTGTCAATCCCAAGCCAAAAGGAGACGGTGTATGTCGCGGCGCTTATGGTAGTAAGGTTTTGCTGCACCAAGCGCATAATCAGTCAGTAGCGGCTTGGAAACGATGTCAGGCTAAACGGAAGCATTGCGCATTAGTCACGGGACCAACTTTCATCCCGAAGGAGAAGCTGAGAGGGTTTCGGGTACGCAGAGATCCAAGAAATGTTTGGAGTTCTCATGGCGGTCAATGCTCGATCAGTAAGTCTGACTTGAAAAGTAGAGCGAACGTTTCAGAGTTCGCTCACCGTCAGTTGCCCTGGGGAACCGCCATTCAGTGCAATATACTGCTTTCCCAAGTGTGCGACCGGGACCTGTGTGATACCGTTTCTGAGCTGGATGTTGCTCTGAGTGACGACCCACCCCAAGCCAGTCGCACCCGCGTTTCCGGTGTAACTCGAGTTGGCCGCGATCGCGGGGGTCTCGAAGCCACCGTTCACAACGAGCTCTGCGCGAAAGGCCAACAAGAACGCTGATTATACATGAAAAAAATCATAAAACTTTCGATTCGTTTTCCCTCGCTTTTTTCAGTGCAAGTTCTACCGCATGGTACCAACGCTCAGAGCCGCTGTTTGAGACGAGGTCTGTGCGCGCGTAAGCAGGTCAAGTCAAGCGCAGTTGAAGGTGAAATTTCAATCGCTTGCTTTTGAAAATGCCCTTTGCGTGGAAGGGGGTTGGGACAGCCAATCAAACTCGATTTTTAGGACGTCTATCCAGGAACACGCAGATTGTCTGGTCCAGAGTGTGGATTTCTTGGCCCAGTCGCACCTCCGCACAAAAAAAAGTTGTCCAAATTTTGGCCAGCCCCCATTCAAAATCAGGATCATTACCGGCGCGACCAGTGTGTAGAAGCATCAGCCAAGAGGGTCGTCCACTGGAAGATGCATTCCTGGCCACCTGTTCTGGCGCTCCTTGACTCCAAAGAGGACCCAATGGAACCGGCAATATTGTTCAGAAACGGTATACTAAAAGCTAGTATCACAGACCGGCTCTGTTTCCTACAAATTGAATCCCATCGGTTATGGGTCAGAAATGCAACACAAAGTGGTGTTCATACCTATGCTGAACACGCTGACCTTGAATTGTTGACACAGAATAAACTGATCACTCACCGGGGCCTTGAGCAGCTGCAAATGGTGTCAGGTACAGTAGCACCGCAATGCAGCCCCATCGGAGCCATGTGATCTGCCGGACTCCGGACGCCCACATGCCTGGTCCGTGCGGCGCCGTACATCACCGGACGGTTCGTTCGACTTTCATGGTTTCTGACTGTCCGCTGCTGGCTTCCTCTCAACGGCTTTGTTCAGACTTTTGAGCTTTCACTTTCAGAGGTCCGCTTATGTCTGTAGTTCGCGAAAGGCGCTTCGAGTTATGAGTGTATGCTTGAGCACAGCGATGCAGCTCCCATTCACGAACTGAGGGCTGCATTTAATTTGGAATGTATCAAAGCACATGTCCGAAATTGCAGCTGGCAACCGCTGACATTGACGCTTGGCTATGACGTGACATTACACTGAGCGCCCCGTCTTATGACAAGCTCAGATTGAGCTGAACCTGTTCCTTAGCTGCTACATATGTTTGGCACTTCCTCTGCCGAAGGGTTTGCACATTCAATATAGAGAGCATATACGACTTTTTCCTTTAGGGCTTACCTAAAGCCAGCTGCAGCTCACGGGCTGCCCTGAATTTGTCGACCAGTCCTATCGCTGTAGAATACAAGCAGTGACGCCATTTTTGACACAGCTCGGCTTCCCACTTCAAAGATTGGACAGGTGGTGCATGTAAGGAGCAGAGATGATTGCTAAGCCTCCTCCAGGAAGCTTGCAGCGCTCATGCCAGGATGTGGGCTGATTGTCTCTTGAAATCTTGGTTCTTCAGATCCTCCAAAACTTGAACTTCATGCTGAAGCACTTTTGAAGTCATCAGATGCTCAGTCCCAGGCGGTGCTACATAACCTGCACCAGGTAACTTTGACTGCAGTTAATGCTATTATTTACCTAGTGCTATTATTGGTGCACGAAGCTTCAGCCTTCAGGTTTGACATAGCCAGACTGAGTAACGCCGGATTCTTTCTCACATTCATGCATGCAATTTAACAGAATCCAGGGCCAGTGAGCTCAGCGTCAGCACGTATGTACGGGTGTACGGTATTGTAATGATTTGTAAGTCATCGAAGTATCTCCGTCGATATCAAAATCTATTCGAATTGACCGTCCGATTGCAACTACCAGCTGATTCAATGGGTATATTTGTAGAAGCAAATATTTTCAGGTTCCAACTTGAACCAGCATAATCTTACCTACTTCTCCGATTCTTGCTCGGGGCCGCAAACAAATTATACATAAAACCCGAAAATAGCACCTTAGGACAGGTTCCCACCTAATAAACCCCAGACTAACCCTACCTGTCTCCCGGGCATCTCTGTTAATTAAGTAACATGTACCTAATCAAGAGCTGTACTTCCAACCTAGGTTCAGTATACGGTAGCGAAATAGTACCTAGCTCATGAAGTACCTAGGTAGCTCCCCCGTAGCTCCTTAAAATCTTGCAAGTACCAAAAGCTTTTGCGCTTTCCTCACGGAAGCACACGAGCGCTGTTGCCACTGAAGGATGGTCCCGCCAAAAATCCACACCGATTCAGCCTAGAGTACCTCTGCCACTGGAATACAAAGTCAAAGGAGCAGTCGGGAAAATCAGCAAAGGAAAGTTTGAGAGGAGGTGAAGCGTTAGCTGCGCAGTGGCAACGTCATCTTTAACTTTATTTGCGCCACTGAGCTTTGATCCTCAGGAGTGACATACAGCTAGCACACAGCTAGTAGGACAAGTGCATGAGCTTGTCTGCACGGGTTAACAACTTCAAACAAGCAGATCGACTCAAGAAGCTTGGAGAACGAGTCTGCAGTTGGTAACCCTAAAAGGCTGGTCAGCATGTCTCAGCTAGCAGCAGAAGCGAATCTGAACGAGGTCATCCCCCCGAGCATGGCTGGTAGGTTAATAAATGCAGAATTTGCTCATTTTGATGTCACCATTTCATGGTCTAGGCTACACAGCTGTGCAACGAATGCGTGGCAGAATGTACTTGGCTAGGGAGAATTCTGTGCACCGGCGGCTGTTTCTGAGCGGCGTCTGTTTGCTGCCAGACCTATTAGAGAGACTGGTCAAGAAACGGTAGAGGAGGGGAGCTGGGCCTCTGTGAATGCAATTGAGAAGTTCAGGCTCTCCACAGGCCCAAAAGTCTGCACATTAGTGGCCTTTCACCTCATAGAAAGGTGGTGTAAAGAGATGCCAGCACAGTTGAAAGCATTGACTTTCCAGATTCCAGAAATCTGCTCTACTTCAGAATACAAAGCTGGCGGTTCCTGTGTCAAGCATTGTCCTTCCCTCGTTAGCTGCTGCACAGACCCAACCATTGGCCCAGATCCTGACTTGATCTTTGACTTCGAGGCCCGCAAAGCTTTCTTCCTTGCAAAGCCAATGAAGCAAAGCGATTTGAAGTAGAAGTAATGGACTCAGTGAGTGAAAATGCAGGCCCAGGGACCAGTGTGGAAAGTGACAGCCAAGCGACGACGCAAGCTGCGGAAAGTGCGGCGAACGGAGAGGTCGCCACCACTTCTTTAGAGGGAGTTGGCTTTGATCAACCAAGAGAGGTAAGGCTGGGTCTGCATGGTTCCGATACGGCAGAGGAAGTCAGTTCCTCAACCTTTGAGTAGTCTGGGACGTTCTATTTCATCTTGCAGGGTAGCTCAAACAAGCAGGTGTCCTGAGGGTGCATTTGCTAAGATAGTGTTCCAGAACGTTGTTTTTGGAAGTCTTCATTTAAATGTCTCCACGAGTATACTCAGGGTCATATTTGCAACATGCCCAACAAGAGTTTTTCTCAGTGCATCGTGGAAGAGCATTCAAAGTCCTCAAATCCACCAGCTGAAACAACCGCAGTAGCAGCCTTTGCCTGCCTTAACTTGAGGCAGGCGGCAAACTTCCGACTACAGCTGCAGGGACGGAGATAACAATGCAGGACGTTTTAAAGATGCAGACAGACTGCAACCGCTGAGCCTTTCGAATTGTGCATTACAGGGACATGCGGGACAGGTGGCGGCGCTGGAGATGCAGCAGAAGCTAGAGCTTCACGCCACTCCGGTCCGGGCTTACCTGGTAAGAATGCGGGAAGGTGTCCTGACTTTCATTTACAATGTCAGAGCGTAGGTCGACTTTTGGCCTGCTCTTCGAGTCCGTCTCTGCTTAGTTCTATGCCACCCAGGGTTGCGTTTTCTTGACTGTGAGCAGGTTAGGAAACCTGTCTTGAAAGTTCAGGTATCATCGTAAAATTATCGTCGATGCTTCGGAAAGTTCGAAGCGAGTCTTTCCCGAGCCGGAAGCTTTCATTGGGCGCGGCTCTTTCGGTGTGTCTAAGAGTCGATAAAGAACGGTCACGGATGGTTGAAGACACCCACGCCAAGTCACTCACACTCAAGCTAGAGCCCTCATAGTAACGTCCTAAAAGGAGCGTCGGCGGCGTGTTTGCAGGAGGCCACGGTGGTCCCACTCCTTCTACAAGGGCTCCAGCACACGGCTCGCGAAAGGTGAGCGCACCTGCGATCTCAAGCGCTGCTCTCCAATCAATTCGCTTGCGTGTTGGCAGCCAACTGAAATCATTTCTGCAGCCTGACTTCGACCATTCGCTGAGCTGTTGATGCAGCGCTGTAGACGATCAAAAGTCGCACTTTAGGTACAAGCTGGTATCTGGGAACTGAGGAACATCGTCGACCCGTTAACTGCTCGTAATAGCCAATTCTTTCAGGAGGACGCACTTCTCACCAAACCATTTTGTTTTACGTGCAGGCCTGACAACCCCGTTGAATATCTTGCGGCCTTCCTGCTGAAGAACAATCCGCAGAAGCCCGCTCGAATTTCGGCTCCCGTGGCCGGCTCATCCTAACGTACTAACTAGCCTGTGTGTCCTGCTGACTAGTACTCTTAACCCCTTTGGAGATGATCAGGCTACCGAGCAGCGCTACGGCTTATACTGTGGCGGCTGCAATGACGGTGAGGATTGCAGTGAAGGCGAAGTCACGTGTTTCTAATTAAGTCAAATCGTGTTGCGGCTGATTGTTTTCTGCCAAGCCAGGTTGAACAAACGGAACTTACCTGGCAGCGCGCGGCTATAGGCGACATAATGCAACAACTGGCTCACACTTGGTGGCGCGCGTGGCATGTGACCGTCATATGCTTCCATGACATGAGTAAACTGGAATATCAGTACAGGGGAATCGGCGTATGATTGCAACAGCTGCCGCGCGGCCGGAACGTTTGGAAGCATGATAGTCGGAAGGTCTTATGTAAGTCTGACCTGAAGAGACAATTGAACGCGAATGATGACACAATAACACAGATCCGATCTATATAAGCCTAGCTTGCTCAGCCTGGCCTTCCTTCCGAGTTCATTCCACCTCCATTCCGACTGATACGGATTCGATCTGGCTTAACGAGTACTTGGCTAGTCAACGATCCACTGAGGCTTGAGCCTCCTGCTAAGCTTGATTGAAAAGTCTGCCGTCGCGTGCAAACATGTGCATGTGATGTAAAGCATGCGCCTGTCCGGCCGCCGCTGCGATTCGAGGCTGAGGCGGACGGAACGCTACTCATGGTTGCTCTTTTCTGAATCACATGCAGTGGCACTGAGAGTTACGGGCGCTCGCGCTTGCAGTGCAGGGCCACCGTACGTTCGCAAGCATGTGCAAATGCATGCTTGCCTTTGATGAATCCCTGCATGGATCTGCGACCCGGGCCGGGCAGGCCCGGGCAGAAGAATTGCAACTTGAAACCGTATACTAAGTCTAGCTACCATTGTCGCAATCGCAATCATTTCATCTCCATGATCATATACTGCCTATATTAAGTTGCATCTGGCAAGTAACCATCCAATTTCATGACGTTTTATGCATGGGGGATCGACGAGCGGAGCTCGAGGCGAACTTACGTATCAGATCGCGTCATACTGAGAGCGCCTGCCGCCAACCAACATGTTTTGCGTCATGGGCCCATATCAACTGGAGCGGCGGCTCAGTCCCGCCCGGCGCCCGGCCCGGGGCGTATTTTCAACTTATTTTCATGTGGCTTCCCAAACCGCGACCAAACTAAGTTGCCAGGCCAGTGCTGACGGCAGCCTCAGTGTGTGATCGTATTGGGTACATGCTCTCTGGTGTTGATCACCAACTCCATTGTCCGAATGAATACAAAAGTTGACACTTTGAAGCCAAGCGACATCAATTGAATCGAATTGACCTTACGAATCCAGATTTACGGCAGGGACAGAGCTCGGCCGAAATGGGACTCGTGTTATAGTTGGACGTTTACACAACGGGGGTGTTATAGGTGGCCCCTAAAGCGCTGGAACAGGGAGATGATCGAGTCTTCGCCATACGGCTGCGGCCGCACGTACCGCATCGGCGTCCGCCCGCTCCGATCCCTTGCGTTCACGTTCGCCTTCCACCTCAGCAACTCCTTACAACGCACATACTCGTGCCGCTCCGCCGCGATATGCAACGGGGTCTTCCCCTGCTTATCTACGCTATTCGGCCGCGCCCCTAGCCCCAGTAAATACTCGACGTTTCGAAACGCGGGGTCGTTTGGGTCTTGGACCTCGAGCGCGTCGTGCAGCGGCGTGCGGCCCTCAAGGTCCTTAGCGTCTAGATTGGCGCCCTTGCTTTTCAGATACACGATGACGTCACTCGGCCCGATCACGGAGTAGTGGATTGGCAACTTGCCGTTTAGCGGGTTCCGCTGCTGCACGCCCACCCCGGTCTGCAGCAACGCCTCGATAACCGCCATCTTGGTTACGTAACCCTCTTTTCCGATCAGCGCGCTGACGATCGGAAACCGCCCAAACTCGTCGGCAATATCCGCCCTCGCCCCGTTTTCGATCAACCGGATAACCATTGTCGGGTCTCCAATCTCGCATGCCACGTGGAGGGCCGTCGTGTAGTACCCCAAAATTCGGTCATCTAACTGGTTAACGTCCGCCCCTTTCTGCTCAACCAGCCACCAAAGCCGGCTGAAATCCCGCTGCATGATCGCCTGGTGTAAATCCGCCACGTCGACCGGGTTATCGTCCTGCCTCGGTAACCTAACCCGCACGAACTCCCGCCCACCAATCAGATCGCTTGCTTCTTCCACCACCCCCTCCTCGAGGTCTGGGTTAGCGGGGTAACCGGGTTCGGTTAGGGCGTCGTCTTCTCGTTTCGTCGAATTCGGTCGCGGTCCTCCGAGGAGCCAAGAATCGCGGTCTACTTCGACGGTGGGAAAACGGCTGCGGTTCCTTGTCCGCCTGCAAGGAGGAGAGAAATCCAGCATTAGTTAAACGATCGCACTTTCTTTTTAAACAGTCGCACCTTCACCCAGGCATGTCAAACGATATAGTGTCGTTAAGTCTGCCAAACGGAAACCTCAGGTAGACCGCGAAGCTCGCTCATGAAAGTTGAGTCTGACGAAGAATCCTGACGGAGAAGGGGGTCTGAATCTTGCCTCTTGTCAGCCTGCAGATGGAAGCACTCAAAAGATAATTAAGAGTATTAATCCATTACTGATGCAGTTCGTCGTTCTTGCGGAACAATTATGTGGAGCAAAGGGAGAGCGAGCGCACGTTTTACTTCAATCTCTTTGTAAGATTCGAACGAACAAAGTTCAGTCAGCTCAAGGATTTCAGGGAATCTGCTCCGGCTGCAAAATGAAATCGCAGTCTGTTTCGAAGTAGATTCCCCGGCTTCCCCTCTGAAGGACAGGTTAAAAATGGTCTTGTCGAGAGCGTCAAGTCCTTTTTCTCTCCATAAACATGCATTTACAACCGTGCGTGACTGCCAACATATTGGGGGAGCGCGCAGCCGACATCAAAGTCTGCTGCTCGACTTCTTCCCGCAACGAGGAGGAAACTCAATTACTGAAAAAGTCTACTCCGTCGAATCACAGGTCTGCTGCGTGTCGTGAGCAGTGCTTAACGGTGCCAGTACGTCGATGTACTCCGTTTGGATGATTAGTCATCGGAGGAGACAGAAGAGTGGGTGTTTCGGTGTCAGCGCAGAAGTTCCTAATGATCTGCAAAAGTTCCTAATGTCATCTGCAAAAGTTCCTGATGTCCTTCATTCGGCGACCGTAAACTGTCTTGATGATTCTTTTCGCATCTCTGGGTAAGAGTAGTCGCGCTCTGTTCAAAAGCTGCAAGTCTTGGGTTCGACAGAACAGGAAAGTTAGGCAGTTGTCAGCAACAGGGCGCGGTGGTGACTGAAGCAAGGAAACGAGGAGAGTTTGTCGCCATTCCCTAAGATCCAAATCAAAGGAGATGGGACGCACGCAAAGTGGAGAACGGTTCAACAAAAGCGAGAAAGTAAGGAAGGAGTGAGAATCGCAGGCAGATGATTGCGTTTCTTTGACAAACCAGCGGAGAAAACATGAGGCCAGCGGAAAAGAAGACGTTCCAACGGGAGCTCACGACAAAACCAAGAAAACAAGAAGGCTAAGACCGTCCGTCCTTTCTGCGGCTAATCCAACAACCCAACCCGTTCCCCTTCTCTTCTTTTCTTTTGCTTCTCACCTCTTGAAAGCATCTTCCGACGGCCCAAAAGGGCTTTCCTCCTCCACTTCTTTCGCCAGACCTTGCCAGCTGTCACTCTCCCATTGGCCGCTGCCTGGCCCGCTTGGCCGACTCTCGCCCTTTCGCGACCCGTAACCTTCGAACTGACCCTCGTCGTTCTCGTCAACCCTCCGCCTAAACCCACTCTCTACCCCCCTTGGTTGCCTGGGACTGGGAATCCTCTCATCTCTGTACCCGTCCAGAAACCCAGACGCTGACCCACTCCTTGACCCATGGCTTAACCCGCTTTCCGACGGTTCGAACTGGCGCCTCCTGTCCAAGCCAGTTCCTCTGTACCCGTCGCTCACCTCAGATTCCAAGTTTCCCCCGAACTCAGGGCTAAACCCACTTTCTGAGGGACCGGAACGAAGCCTCTCTCTAGGCCGTTCGTTCCCACGTTCTTGCCGTAACCTAGACGCCGCTTCCCTTTCAATGCCAAAGCTCGACCCCCTTTCAGCCCGACCCAATTGACGCCGCGCTTGAGGCCTTTCTCCCTCATGACCTGCACCAGGATCAGACTGTGACCCGCTCCCTAACCGGGGACTTAACCCGCTTCCTGATCCCCTAGTCCCAGAAAATGGCCCCTTTTCCAACCTGCGCCCCGCCGCACCAAACCCGTCTCCATTAACCCGCCCCTGACTTAGTGACCTCCTCTCTAGGTTACCCTCAGACCCGCTTCCTAACCCGCTCCCTAACCCCCTTCCTAACCCGCTGCTCTCGCCCCATGGCGAAGACTCCTCCCCCCGCTTCCGCCCCGCCACACCGCTGTTACTCAGCCACTGCGCGATTTGCCGCTCTCGGATCTCCGGATCCACTTCCGCGTGTTCAAACCCATCCTTGAAGAAGTGCAAACCCTGCCTTACCGGGGGGCCGTCTGCCCAGGGATCGCCACCCCCCCAGGGCGAACCTCTTTCAATGCCACCTCCCTGGGACGGCACGTCTCTCTCGAGAGCGCCGCGCTCGCTTGACAGAATGGCTGCCAGACGCGACTTTTGGATCTTTTGGGGGGGAGGCGGCGGGGGCTCTTTAGGGGGGAGGGCAACTTCTTGCTCCCACTTCCGCCGGCTCTCTTCCTGCTCCGCGGCTGCTGATGTCAGCGCTTCTGTCACAGCAGCCAATGAGATTTGGGGCTTTACTTCCGGTTCGAGGAGTTTCGGGGGCTCCGGAAGAAGCTCCTCCCACTTCCGCCGAACAGGGTTTGGGGCTGGGGTAGGAATCTGGTTTCGGGTTAGGTTTGGAACTGCAACTGGCGCTCCATTGAGGACCTGATTAACAACCGGGTTAGGGGCTGGGTTTGACACTGCAAATGGGGTTGCGGTACTTGACGCCTCGATCGAACTTGGCGCGTCAGCACCGCCCTCTTCCGATGACTCATTCTGCAAGCTGTGTGCACTGTTCCGAAGTTTCCGTTCACTCGCATCTAACCTGGGTGCACCGCCTGCATGCTTTCCCCCCACCGTCACAAGTTCGAAACCAATGGGGTTTCCATTGGGGGCCCGGGTAGGCTCTCGAGCAGACCCCCCAGAAATGGACGCTTTCGTAACAGCAGAGTTGACGTGTGACCGAGAGTTTGCGCCATTGACCGTCTTCTGCTTTCCGTTTGGAGAAGCTTTGGACTCCCGAGTTTGTGCGCTACTTGGGCGGGCAGCTTCGGTAGGCTGACTTTCAACCCCTTCGGCCCTCACAGAACCCCTCAGACTTGGGCTTCTACTGGGAATTCGGGGACTGTTATCCGGCATTTCGGAAGCACCTGTTTGGGAAATACCTGCTCCCGCCTCCCAAGGTCCTTCCTCCCACTTTGAGCGGACGTAACCCTTCACTCCTGCCGCAGTCTGCGCATCACCATCCCTCCGGCGCGCGGCAGAAAACTTTCCCTTGCTAACCCAGCTGCTTAACCCGCCGGGTATCCGCCTAACCGGCCCCTGCCCTGGAACTGCGCCTATGCTGCCAAACCTCTTTGCTACTCCTGCCATTCCTGCTTGTCCTCTCCAATCTGACGCTTGGGTGCACGGAAAAGTTCTACTAGGGCTGTAAGTGCAAGGTTTGAAAGCGGGCAAGAGGGGCGTGGTGGGAGTGTAGAGAAGGTTAGCGGTGAACCGAGGTGAAGCCCAGGTTTGGAGGCTGAGGGTTTGACCCACAGCCGCAGGCGAGCAGCAATGAGTGCCCTCCATGTTTATAGCCGTGCGTGTTAAGCAAACGTACTAGCAGCAGCCCGCCTCATAGTTTTTGGACGCGTCTGTCGGGAACTGCTCAAGCCCATGTATACAGACCAGGCTGGCCCGACCTCTGATCAAAGGTGGTCATTGGCTGCAAGGTAAGAAAAGAAAGGCGATCGTAACGCATTTGCTATCAGGAGAGGAAATCAAAGCTGAGTTTCTCAACCAGATTCGATGGCATTCGGTCAGTTCCGCAAATCGCAAAAGGCTGCTTGTTCATGAAAGATATCTTATCGCATATTGATAACATGTTTTCTCAAAATATCGGATAGAACAAGCACAGCAGCAGCAAGAGGATTCGAAAAGCTTGGGCGCCACAAGCAAAATCACTGCGCAAGGCATCTTTCCAAAGGATGTGGTGATGAACACTTAAAGACAGCTCTCCCTGTGGGCAAATGCCACCAAGAACCCGGAAATGACCCAATAATGCCACCGCTTGGCAAGTGATTTGGTTCAAGCGCCTTCAAGCAGATCAATGCGCCCATTGAGTAAAGTGCCAAACGTTAAGGAGAAATCCCACAGCTTAGCGTAGCACCACCATTTTCAGCAGAGTGACAGAGCTTAAATTTATGGAGAAAGGACTTACCTTCTATCAGTTGTGCCGGCCAGATGCAAAGCAAGCCAATTCATCGCCTTCACGAGCTTCAAAAAGGCACCATGTGAGAGCAGCTCATACATAAGACTCCAATGCTTCCTATCATTTCTGGGGCGCTTCAGACGAGCAGACACACGAAAGATGCGCCCTTTGAAGGCCTTTCCCGCTCCTACGAGTCCTAGAGATCAGGAGATTTTTGCTGCCCGGGCAGAGATGTCTGTGACGGACTGCTACATAAGATTTGGGCCGTCCATATCGACGGTCGTCAGCATGTTGCAAGCAACCGCGCGCGCGTCACTTAAATCGTAGACGTGCAAGAGCATTACATTCAGTCCTGCAATCTTGCGGCGTTCGGATGTCAATTTCATCGCGGCTTCCATCGGAGGATATTTCACAGATTTGGAGTTCTGCTGATGTGACTTTCCTAGCTTCTGCCGCTTAGAACAGCGCCGGCCCGCATGCCTACAGAGCGGCACGTGGCGTCGCATAATTAGTCGACGGCCTGTACGTCCGAGTCAGGCTTGTTTGGCGGCCTAATTGCATGTACCTATATAACTTCTCAGCCTTGAAACTCTTGCACTTACGAATCTTGCGTCCCAAAAGAGAGGTCGATGGCCCGGTCAGAATGTGGAGAAGTGACGGCATTACATCTCATTCCTGGGGACCATGAGACTTTTAGGCCAATGCGGTCCAACAATATCCTTGTCACCCTTGCGTGACTTTGAACATAAGAGAAAAGTAGAGGCTTTCAATGATAGCGTTTTCGTATGGGAGATGGAGCCAGTGGCTCTGCCGTGAGTCGGCCCATCAAGAAAGATCATGTTATAAGTGGCGAAAGCAGGGAGAAAGCAGGGACGCCCAAATCTGGCGAGAGAGCCGAGGAGAGAGACAGAGAAAAGGAAAGCGACAATAAACAAAGTGACTGGTTGATTTCAGGGGCACCTCAAGTAGCAGGCTTTGCTCTCATGCTTGCTCCTGTATTTGAAAATGCAAAAAGCCGCTTATGCATGCACTCGGTAAAGAGTGTATTTGCGGGAAAGACCGCCCCGCTGGGCGTCTTGTAAACCGGCGCGCTGCTCTTGAAAGGGAAGAAACTAGATCATAGAAAGCCATACGGTGATAAGAACAGCAACCAGGACCGGGCACTTTTGCGAGATGGCGCTCTTAGAGGCCGGCCGCCGGCGGAGGCGCTCGACACGGGCACTCCTGGGATACTTGGAAGTGCATGGTGGGGCGTCGTTCTCTCCATGTCAAGTTTTTGATTCCGTCGGTTCTCCGCTCTTGTTGCCATTTGGTGGCGCTTCTTCATCTCCTGTCCTTGTTCTCAATCTTCAATTTTGATGAAGTTTTCCCAATCAGCAGATAGACACACACTTTCTCCTGACGGCGACAATGAAACAGATGGAATGCGCCCCTTGACTCGTCGCTAATAGCTGATGCACTAGGTCGCTTCGTCAACCTCGTGTCCCTCTACTTAGGAGCTAAAAGCGAGATCGAAAACAGAAGAATGGTTCTCCATATTCGACGGGTTGGCAGATAGTTGCATACTGTCGTATCCATACCGAGTGACGCCCACGTTCAAGCCAGAGGAAAGCGGTACTGTTGATTGGTATCGAGGGACTAGAAGGAACAAAGACGGCTGGAGATACATGTCATTCCATGTTGCCAATCCTTTCGATCTTATTGGTCGAGCAGGCAACTACGCAGAAACAAGCTGGCAGACATACTTCCAAAAGCTGCCCGCTGATTGTCATCAAAGATACGTATACGGCGCCATCTACATTCTGCCTGGATCGTAAGTAAGCTCTTCGGAGATCATTTCCAGTTCCGGCTCTATGTCGTGTTTATCTCCAAAATTTTGAACGGAAACTTGCTCTACTCCACAGTTTTCGAGGCCTCCCCTCGTGGGTTGAAGAAGAGCATGGGCGTGCAGCGAATATCGTCTGCTTGGAAGACGCTCATTCCAGGCATGTCCGAAGTCATCTGTCGAGGTGAGGGTGTGATCTGCTTCCGACAACCGGAAGTGTTTACGCAGTCTTCCGTTACAGTTTGTCGAACTTCCTTTCAGCGAAGATTGATCCAGTCCGACCTCCTTCGAGCTTCGTTTGACCCAGGTACCAGCAGACCTTTCATTCTAAGCGACCCTGCAAGTACCCTTGGATAATCCATAAATTGCCTCGGAAAGGGGTCTCGTAACCTTTACTCAAAGTCGCGACTTCGACCAGTTTGTAGAACAGTCGACAAAGACATGCTCGACGAATCCACAGCATTCATAACGCTTTTCTCTATCATTGTCGGCTCACTGCAGAACACAATGGGCACTTAGGAACTTCTTGGGCTCTTAGAACTCCTCGGTATCAAGCCGAACCAAAGGTCATTTCCTGCGGGGTGATCGAAGCTTCGGTTGTAGTGACTAGCTGAGAGCTCATGCCAAGGGTCAGATTTCAAATCACATACGGACTCGTCCGCTCCAACACGGTGTGCCAGACCGCAGACTCCTCCTGATAAGCTGCGTGTAGCCTGATTATGCATTGCAAGATAGAAAACACATACGGACTGGAAACTTCATCGGCGTTCCGGGAAAGCAATCTGAAGAAGGCGTCTGATGAACAATGTCACGACGCAGTTGAGATCAGCGGCGTGGCGGCCCAGCGCGCGGAAACCGCGCCCGCGAAAGTCGGGAAAGCCGCCATAACGTGGGACGAGAAAGTGTCGCTCCCGGTTTACGAGGGCGCCAAGGAGCTCCGACTGCTCCTCTTGTCCCCGGGGGTAAGCGGGGCGACCCCGAGAACGGTCGCAAACGGCGGGTTCTATGTGGAGGACATCATGGCGTCGCCCTCAAACTGCAAGTGGTTCGAGCTGTTCGCGCCGGGGGGCAACGCAGGTGGGTTTTGACGCAACCAGCTTTTTCCAAGTCTTTTGGTGGATATCTCTCTTCCTCCTTTTTGCTTTTTCTTTAGTACAAATTGATTTTCTCGCGCAATGCATTATCTCCAGTTCCGAAGCTCCATGTTTGTCTCTCCCTTGGGGTTCGACTTCAGTAGTTTTATTTCCTCAACACGTTTCTCCTCGATCCTCCTTTACCGCTTTCTCATGGTCCCAATTTTTTCCTACACCGAAGATCAGCAGACAGTATCTGCTTGCACACGTGAAATTCTTCTTTGCCATTTTTGGGTACGTCAGCTAGGGTTCTCGAGAGGTTTTGCGAACAGGGCGTCGGCTGCCATCCGGGACCCGTGAATTTAAACAAAATTTTGTTAGTGCTTCGGGCGAAACTACTCTTGTTGAGGATTTCAGCAGCCTCCGTCTGCAGAATCCAGACGATTCAGCCGTGAGCTTCCACCGCGTCCACAAGATGGTTCCGGCAATCGAAAAGTTCAGCCCCTACTAGTTTGGCGAGAACGCTGAGAATGAATTTCAACGGACTGGCGCCATTTATTCGCGTCTTCAGACACAAAGATAACACCTCGTTTACAACAGCCGACAGACTGACGCTCTTTTTGCACTCCGCTCTTCCTCAGCTTTCATTCATGCTGCAAAGCACCGGTCGGACGCCCACCCTACGACAAGGAGACCCGCTTCGTTTCGAGTATAAACACAATACTCTGGCACGGGCTTGAATGGTTCCTTTAGGGCGCCGACTTGTAAGGAGAACGATGATCGTATTTTACGTATTTAACCCAGATTGTTATATGATTGTTATATGATCGTATTTAACGTATTCAACCCATATTTAACCCATATTGGGTCGTATTTAACGTGTTTAAACCATATTCCCACATCTTCTTTTCCAGGAGGAACTATCAAGCTCAGCATCCTATACACTGCGGCGACCACTACCGAGAGGCAGCGCCGGCAGTCGGTGAATGCAGAAACGCAGATTGAGGCGCAGGCGTCACACGAGCTGACGTCAGAAAGGATGCAAAGCAAGAGCTTCAACGACTCGTCGTCAGGTAAGCAGAGCGAGGGGTTTCGAACTGCTTTGGTGTGCTAGCTGTGAGATCAACCGTTTTTACTAGACTTGCTATCAAGTAAAAGTTTCCCGGAGTTGCAAGAATGGAACGGAAAAGGGCAGATTGAGATTGAGATAGCATGGATACAAGTGCGTTCGCTTTGAGTCACCCACAAGGCGAGTCCGTAGTATCCCAGAATCTCTTCCCAGTTTTTGCATCTGCTTTTCTTATTCCGCAAGTGGCCCTCTCATCTTTACAAATCAACCTTTTGCATCCACTCGAGAATGCACCGGGAACAGGCTTCAGCTGCTTGTCACAAGTAAGGCCTTGACCTTGAGGGGGCAATACATCAGATCAACCACCCACTGGAATACGTCATTTGAACGAGGCGCCCTCGGAGTCATCTCTCAGCTGCCCTCCTGCCGTCTGTCAATTCAGACGTTTTGTCCCCATAGATTCCTCGAGTGTCAACGAATAGTGCCTTCGTTTTCCCCCCATCGCAGACGCCGCCATCAACACTGACCCCATCGCTGCGGCCCCCGCCGCCGCGGCCGCGCCCGCGCGCCGCTCGCTCAGCGTGACCGTCGGCGTCGGCCCGAGCCCCGTCCCCAGCCAGAAGAACAGCCCCGCGGCCGCGGCCGCGCTGGCGACCCAAAGGCGCGTGTCGCGTCAGAGTAGGACGCCCAAAACCCCCGGTACGTACCAAGAGCACTTGTTGCAGATATGGGTACCAAGGATTGACAGATTTCCCTTCACAGAAGGGACGGGCACGTTTCTCTTGGTTGATAAAACCCATACAACAAAGGCACTACGGCAATGAAGCATCGGAACATCATGCTCGTCCGTTTCCGAGATGGGCTTTTGGTTCTGTTCTAAGCGAGCCCACCAGTTGCGCACACGCATCTGGATGGTGATTGAGCTGCGCCTCGACTAAGTTTAGTGAGGCGGGGCCCCATCAGAAAGTCGGAGAGCTAAACTTCCCTCCCATCCTTCTCAGGGAACAAGGCGTAAAAGACTTTCGAATCCACTCAAATCGGACGCATTGAACCCGTCCGTCATAGATGGGCCGCACTCCTCAATATTCAGGTTTCCAGATGATCGAACCGGCCAAACAATCGCCCCAACGGTGTGCCGGACGATGTTGGAGGAGGACGAGGGCAAGCACTTAACAAGCGGCAGAGATTACAGACTTCCGGAAGTGATCGGTTTGCTGAATGCCAGCCCTGTGAATCTTTCGTGTTGATAATTGATGCAGAGCCGCAGCCGGAGACAGCCCCGATCGCCATCGACGCGCGGCCGCCTCCCACGGACCGCGAACCCACGGGAGAAAGTCCGCCCGCGCAAGCCGAAGGATCGCCCATCGAGTTTCCTCAGATTCCGGACGAAACGCCCATCGAGACTGTGGCGGGATCGGCAGGTGAGCGATGCATGACGGGCCCCTTTCTTCAAAGAAGCCGCTAGGTGTCCCTCATGTAAGAACGGACGAAAGCTTTGAGCGTTTTGAACTGTATCTGAGATTTTAGAAGGCCGAATCCGTTCGGCAATCTCCAAGTCAGCGCCCTTGTCAGGACCCGGTTCATCCCGGAGAATGCCTCTTGAGACCTCTGTGTACACGAAAACTTTGAAGCTGATGCGACGCGTGAACCGACTGGGCGTCCGGAACAGGGTTTCTTGGGAGACCCCTCGGATGTGGGCCGCGTCATGCAATTCGAGCGCTATGGGGATCGAGCTGATCAGCAACTCGTTGAACGACTGTAAGATTGAATGGCGGTATGGAGTCCCTTCGACTGGCTGAGTGTCGACGTTCGAACCTGTCCTGATTTCTTCCGACCGTGTGAGGAGATGCTAACCGAAGACATCGAACTGAGAAACTTGAAACAATGCGTAGTTGGCCGTAGACTCCTTCTCTAAACTGGGCACATAATGTCTTTGCAGAGAACTTTAGGGTTCCGGTGGCAGACGCTCCGACGGGCATTCCGGCGGACGTCCCGACGGACATTCCGGCGGACGTTCCGGCGGACAGGCAGACGTCCGAAGCATTGCCTTCCAAGAGCATCGCGGTCCAGCCCGCAGCCGATCTTGCGCTAGAGTCTTTAGAAGAATCGACACCCGCTTTGACAAACGGCCACGAGCATGAGCTGAGCGTTATCGACGTCGAAACTGCTCCAGAGGAGACCGCTCTTTTGGCAGAAATGCGTGAGGAAACCATTTTTCTGGCAGAGACAAGTAAGTGAATCTCAAAGCCCCCGATGAACTTGAGCTGCGTTCCTTTTCTCGCTCGACGCTGAGCATACAGCTTGAAGTAGAGCGGTTGTATTGAAGGAGGGATGCCATTTGAGCCGGGAACGCCCGGGCCTAAGAGACCTTCCCTTTTCGCCCCGTTTTCATTTTCGAAGCAGATTTGACGGGAAGAAGCATAGCTTCGTTGCTGCCATGTGACTCTCGTTCTTGTGATGAATCGTAACAGCTTACAACGAGATCAAGTGGGCTCCACATGAAGGCCGCAGGCTTTTCGTTGTTTAAAGGCTACTTGACACAAGTCTTTCTGTCAGCAGGTGACACCGAGCTGGTGTCAAGCTGCCCAGCAAAGAAGCCACGGGGGATCCCCTCGGTTGTGCTCTTCGGAGTCACCGCCGTTGCTGCCGTTATTGGCGCGGTTGTGCTTGGATCAAAACGGGGGGGCAATGACAAGAAGAGCGGCAGGCCTCAAGCGCCCCCCCAGAGCAGAGCGGACATCATTCATTATGCGAGCGGCCCACGAGCTTAGAAAAGCATGCACTACAGAATTTTCTTATCTGGTTTCGGGACCCTGGTAGGAAAAGAGAGTACACTTGGACAAAGAACAGATTGTAGATACGTATAGTAGAAACCAGGTGACAAAAGCCACCAGACGAATCACAGTATGTGAGCATCCGAATATTGAGAGCAGGAAGCAGGAGACTGGTGCTTGGGTGTTTATGATGTTGCCAGGCCCTATTGTTGTGCGTGTAAGATTGCTGCATGGGTGCCGGAAGTGTGAACTTGATCGATGTTGGATTGCACATGCGGCCAAGTCTGATACCCAGTGATTCGGCGCAGGAATAGCGGACAGAAGCATAAGCTGGGGCCGCCGACTCGATGGGCTGCCGCGCGCGTTATAAAGGTACCGGGCCCGTCTGTCGACCTCGGTTCAAGTAGTCCCTGGCTAGACGTAACTAGATTCGGGAAAACGACCACTTCATGCAATTGCTGTTTGCACGTTGGTCCCGCTCCAATGACAACATGTGCCGGCGCCGCTGTGCACGATAAGCAAGATGCAAGAGGTCATGTCAATCAAAGCACCGTAACATATGTAGCATGCATGCACATGCAGACCTTGTCCGCCCGCGGCAATCATAATCATGTAGTGACCAGAGTCGTGAGTTGCGGTGCATCATCATGGCATCTATTCACGTGGCATTCACCTATTATTCTTGGTTATGAAGAAGGAGGGTCATAGCACAGACTTGCCCTTATGCGAGCTTGATGCCGTGCCACAACCAAAAGCAAGCAAGGGCGGCCTTTTCGTTTTTGTGCTACGTATGCCTCGCTGAGTTGTCCCCTCTAGCTGGACAGCCAGCACTCAAATGTTACATGTTTCTGCAGTGAAAGGTGTCCGTTCTCCCTTCGTCCCAAACAATAAGCCCTTTGTTATTCTTTCTCAAGAAACTGGCTGAGCACTTTGACAAAACTAGCGACCGAGACGTTTTGTTTGAGGCGCCTGTCAACCACGAAGACGTTCCTCAGCTCCAGGGCGGCATCCTTCAGCAACCCGTCCTCTATTTTCTCCAGGAGGTCCCTCTCAAACACCACCTCGTCCATCATGACCGTGAACTTGACGTCGTATGCCTCTCTCTGAATATTTGTGTATCCCGCCCAAACCAACTTTCCGCCGGTAGCAATGTGAAAGAATACATACAACAACGACTCAAGATCGTTCGACACCCACGCCGCCTCCTCCTGAAAGGGCGCCCCGACCGACTTCAAGCCACCTAATCGATGCCGCAGGAGCGTCAGGCTCATAAATGTGGGAGTCCCCGTTGGCCACTCCCCTGCTCCGATTGCCTGAAAGGACCACGGCCACATTAGAAGAAAGCGCCTTCTGAACAGATTGGGATCCTAACTGTAAAATGCTGCTTGAAGGTGAGGCGCATCGAGATGGCATGGGAAATGGTCCTCCAGTCCAGCCCAATAAAAGCAACCATAACCTTTTGTCTTTGCTGGCGTGAAGGGCTGCTGGTCCAACGTGCTCTTGGCAGGCTGAGATGTAAAGAGATCACATAAGAGAAGTGATTTCAAGATCTCGTACTTACTTCTTGCAGACGCCGCGCTGCGCCGAAGTCAATCAGTCCAGCGTGCCCGTCCGGAAAGACCTGCGCGTTGGCGTACGAGATGTCGCCGTGGGACCAGCCCGCTGCGGCAAGCTGTCCGATGATCTCAGCAATCTGGAGGACGTGTCGGAGCACGTCCGCTGCTGGTCCGCTGGGCAGGGGCACTCCGCAAGGCTGCAGGATCAACCACTCATGCCCACAGTCATCGACGCCCTTGCCCACGGCGCGTACGATGTGCTGGACCTGGCCCTCAAGCGCTTTGAGGGCCTCTTCCTGGGGAGGAATGTTGATGCGATCGATAGCATTCTGAGAAGTCAGTGTGCGGTTATTCAGCAGCATATTCGGAGGCCAGCCTTTTCTTTGGCAGACAACTTGCACCACAGAAAAAGTGGTCCGTTTTGATCAACAATCTGCAATGATGCAGTTGAAGGCAGCAAAACTCGAGGGCAGTACTAAGAAAACGAAAGTGACGATGTGCCGCAGGCTATCCCAACGAGAGGCAGGGCAATCAGGGAAAGGATATTGAATGGGGCAGATCAATTGAGTCACCAGCCATCGCACAAACTCACATGAGCTCTGCTATTTCCTGAGATTAGACTTATAAGATAACAACAACTTTCGTCGGCTGCCGTACACAACATGCTGAACTCAGGTTGCTCAAGAGCGCGGGTTGTTAGCCCTCCAAAGGGCTGCCTATAATCACTCATGTGCATTGCAACGCCTTATGCGGTGCTTTATATAGGTTCAAGATCATTACTGACACTTACGTGACACCCGTCTCTCAACTGCAAACACTCAAAAGATCATCGCAAACAGATCCCTGACCGGCACCGTATGAAAATGGCCAAACTCTACGCATCCGCGTCCTTGATTTGGTGTCATCAGTAGCAGCAGGAACAGATTTTGATGGTACTCACCTCGCGCACAATCTGATAGGACCGCTTGGCAACAACCTTCTTGCCCCTCAGCATCCCCAACAGGACTGTCGTAGATTTCTGGATCGGAGAACTCAAGGGGCCATCACCCGCATCTAGCCGCCGCACATCGGTCAGGAGCTCTCCTTCAACTAACACCGCAGGTAGAGTAACACTCTGGTACCCTAGACTCTCTGGCGACGTGGAAGCCAAGCGGACAAGCAGCTGCAAAGCGTCCGAGTCCTTAGACCAATCCAAGGGCAGGATGCCAGAGGACCAGAACATTTCTGTGCCGGCTTTCCAGGACCATAGCTCGACACCGTCAGCACCACCTGCCAATGCATAGAACTCGGTGCGTTCTGGCTGCTGAGGGAAGAGCAGACTCTGCATCCTTTCGCTGCACTGGGAGATCGCTTCGTGATGCAGCGCTCCCGGCCTTATCAATTTCTTTAGGCTGGTTGTGAGAACCAAGTATGCAGCGAGCTTGTCACTGGTCTTGCTGATACCAATGTCCGGCTTTTTCAGCCCGTAACCACTCTCCGAGCTGTCAACTACGAAAACACTGTGCGGGTTCTTATTTAATCGGAGAAGGGACCGCCAAAGGGTCATGAAAAAGCTCTGCGCATCGCGCTCTTGAAGTGACGTCCTGACCCGCTGTAGCTCCTGCCACGCACGTGCAGCGTCTTCATCCTGGAGGAGAGAGTCCAGGAGAGTGTGACTCAGAGGTGCAAGTGTCTTTTCAAAAGCTGTTTTGCTGACTCTGCCCCCCTCAGTCACTGACTCTAGGATTCTGCTCCCAATCTCATTTGGCGTCTTATAAGAGTGCAGCTTGAGACGTTGCTCTGCCGCCCGGGCCGCTTCCTGCGCCTTGGTGAACTCTTCCAGCTGCTGTTTGTACGAATCCAACTCTGCCTTCCTCAATCTTTCTTGCTCAACTTTAAATGCTTCCAAGTCCTCGACCGTTGCACTCCTTCCACTGCTCCTTGCTGCGTGCCGCACAACCCATATTCTTGATCTCCATGTCAGCAGTCTCTTTCTGTTTTCGTTCAGAGGGGCCCAAGCAGGAATAGAACTGTCCCACACATATTTTGAGCAGTCTGGAAACAGCTTCTCCAGGGCGTCAAGCGGGTCGCCGTCTAAAGTCTCCAGAACCCGACAATCGTCTGGCACTGGCTCCACAGCATCAGGATCCCTAACAGCATATAATACTTCCATTGTCTCTCTCAGCTGTCGCCACAAAGAATGAGCCCAACGACTCCTCCAATTGGTCTCTAGACTCTAGCCTCTATCAAGCTCGAGTCTTCCCATTGGCATGAAACACTTGGGCCCGGTTCAGCAGAGCTCTGCTTTTGTTGCGCCCGACAGTGACAGCTGCGCTCAGGCCGCGCGCAGGACTTGCCGAAGTCCTGCAAACCCTCGATATGGACGATCGAGGAAGATTGGACGGTTGAGATGTCTTCTTTTTATAGTACATAATATAAAAAGATGGTTGTGCATTCATCGAGGTCGACCTGTTGGCCCAATTGGATAAGGCGCGAGCCTACGGAGCTCGAGATTCTGGGTTCAAGTCCCAGGCAGGTCAGCTTTTGCTGACCCTTTCAAACTTTTGCACTGGTCCTACAGCAAAGCGCCACTCTCCTCGCTTCAAAGTCTTGCGTTTTATGCACGAGTCAAGCTCACGAAACAACCTTTCATGCTCTATGTGCTTGCTCCAAACAGCTACTTTCAGGAAGGAAGCCTTTACAGTCTTCGAAAGCAGACTTCGTTCAAAAGTTCCCTTCTTCCCCCCTTCTTCCTTCGCCAAACCTTTGCCAGAATCTTTCCAAAGCTTCTTCACAACGGAAGCATTTTTCAAGCGGGGTTTGATTCACTCTAACTTCCATACCATCTTTTTAAACAGCAGGAGAGTTTTTCTAAATAGAAAAGAGTTTTCGACCCTTCGTGCTGCCCTTCAAAGTGATCTCCTCAAGTGCTTCCACCATCGGATTTGGGAAGAAAGAAACAAAGTAGTCGATCAAACGGACTGGTCCTTTGGCTCAAAAGTCGAGCGTATTTATGATGATTCGCAAGATTCAATTCCTTGACGCTTTGAACAACCCAGACTCCAGCCCTTGTCTTGTCCAATCAATCTGTCTTGGACGAATCGTCAACAGCGAACGCCCGGTAGACGAAGCCGTTATGCTGCTCACTGTGTCCCTGGTATGCAATGGGCCAATAAAGCAATCTGGTGCGCTGCGGGTTTGCACACTGCTGCATCTGATGATCAGCCAGGCTGTAATAGTTGAAGCTGGTTGGCTGCCCGTTGGCTGCTGGCTTCTCGGCTTCGAGCCTGCTCATTGAAGGCTTCGTGTTCCTAACATCACTCAGTTTCACCAGATGGCCAGCGGCGTACTGCCTGATTCGCTTTGTGTGAGCTTGCTGAGGCATGCCCATCGCCCAGCTATAGCTGAATCTGTATCCGCACCAGGAAGTTAAGAATCCGGTTAAGACCTCGGAACCACTCAGAACCGAAGTTTGTTGCCCTGAGGCTGAGGTATCAAAACTGACAACCATAACCGGAAAACCCACCATACAATTCTGTGAAGTGCTGCTGGGTTTCCGATTGCTTTATGCAACGGTGAAATTCAGGATAATCTTCACTTTGCCACTCTCCTTGCTTCTTGTTCTCCTTTGCTAGGGCGCCTTTTTGCTGGACATCGCTTGCGGTCCGTGCTCAAAGTTGTACTCTTCCCTATTCTCATCTTGGTCATAATGGCAGCAGTTTCGGCGCGTTCAGCTCTGCCTTCCTTGAAACAGAATCATGTATCGCCGCACCGGGTGCAGTCTGTAGAGACAGCGGTGCTACCGTCTTGCTGCAATTACAAGAAACAAGGACTGTCATTGTCTAGAGCTTGTCAAAATGTTGCAAAGAAAGGTTTGGGGGGCTTCTCAGCATTGCGCACGCTGTCAGCTTGGGGCGGGAAGCAGCACTTGGGACAGTTTCCTGCAGGTCTCTTGCAAGGTAAGAGGCAAAAGGATCTTGGTTCAAATCGTGTTCAAGGCTGGGCTTTTGTATCCGCATATGTTGATTATTTGTACCTTCTATGCAACCTTGAGCAAGTTTTAGGTTCACATCTATCAGTCTCGCTTTTTTCAAAGTGAGAACATTGCTTTTTGCAATGCTGTTAGTGGAACTGTGAAAGAGCTTGCGGCTTGCATCTGACTCTGCTTGGTAAATAGCTGAGAACTACCTGCATGAACCTTGGACCTATATTGCCTGTGCAACATTGAGGGCCATAACGCTTCACTTCTTGTTGCATAGAATTTACCTTCCTGGCAATAAGCAACTTTCTTTTTTGCACCAATCGTTTCAGAGTTGCACACACCATGGATACAGTCAATTGAAAATGACGTGGAATCAGTGGCGCAGTGGCAATTGCTTAAGAGCTTTTTACAGTGCCTCGTAACCAGGACGCAAGGCCCTGTCAAAAGGCCAGAGTACACTTTTAAAGCAGGATGCATCTCTTACAACACTAAGCTGAGGCGCTTCATGTTGCACTGCTGCCTTTTGTTACACTGCGACAGAAGAATAGGCTTCGCTTCAGTCTGGGAGCCCTCAGAACCCAAGAGGAATCTGGGTGTCAATAGTCATCAAAGTTTGAGGTGCTTCAAAGCAATATCTGACAGAGTGCCATTCCTGAGTTCCAGCAAACAAGGCATCGACAATTACAACAAAGGAGTATGATACGCCATTAATCACACGTGCTCATTAAAGCAGCAGGTATACAGGCCACGTGCTTCTTGCAGTCTGCTAGCAAAAGCTAGTGGGCCTAGGGGTCTCAGTGTTCTACTGATGGATAGTGCAGAGGCCTAAGGTGAAATACCCCGCCTCTACACTATCGTGACTAGGACTAATACGAGAGGCGTTCTAGCAGGGCCGCCAAGGGGGCTCGTTTGAATTTTGTTTCTTTGGTTGAAGTTCGTATGGGAAAGGGAAAGGATACCCTTCTTTCTGGACTACTGAACACTCGCAGCCGTACTGCACGCGAGCAATATTTCTTCACCCAGATACAGTTACATCCTAAGGTCCTTGCAAGGGCGTTTCTTTGGAGTTCTTTTTACCATCTTACCACTCAACCGACACAAGCTTCATAAGATTTAAGTATTGCCCAGGCAGATGAGTTTAATGAGGTTTGTGTCACTGCAGGCACATCACGACGAGGCGTTTCTAGAACAGCCGCCAGGGGTCTCGTCACCGCATCGTTGCTTGGAGTGGGGGCCCCGGAGGCCCTTGTGATTGGCGTTGTTGCGTTGCTCGTCTTCGGGCCGAAGGGACTGGCCGAGGTTGCGAGAAATCTGGGCAAGACGCTCAAGACGTTCCAACCGACGATCAAGGAACTCCAGGTGGGGGCCTTTTCTCCGGTCCTCACTTGCTCTCTCATTCGTTTTGTTTGTTGCAAAATGCTCAAAGCCGGATTCCAGAGCAAAGACTGTTGTGAGATTGCAGACTTTGTCACTTTGCTCCCAGATTTTTGATAGTCAACTTGGAGACATGCAAATCTCCCGACTTGTGAGATTGCTGTTCGTTTACGTTGGAAAGAGAGCTTGTGCTTCCGACTTTCAGACTTCAGGATGATCCCAAAGTCACTTTCGATAAGTGCATGTCTTGTCAGGGCCAACTCGTATCGCTCGCAAAATTAAGTTGCTGTACAGGCCAAACGTCATTCCTTCTTGCACTTGAGAATGTGTGATCTCCACGATAGCACTTCTGTCCGCCCTTCCCCAGTGCCACATAACCCAAATTGGTGGGGATCACGGCTGTCAAGCAGGCCCCACGAGTCTCATCCCGGTTTCTCTCTCCCCTTGCAGGACGTATCACGGGAGTTCAGAAGCACACTGGAGCAAGAGATTGGGCTTGACGAAATAAGGGACCCGTACAGAACCCCACCTCCCCCCCCCCAGCAACCAGCTTCCCTGCCCACTTCAGCTACCCCCCCGGCAGCAGAAGCCGCACCCAAGCCAGCTCCGGGCAAAGAGGAAGACCGACCATGTAAGCCTGTTCTCCAACCAGGGTTTCGGGTATGTTTTTCGGGCTTGGCCCAAGCATTTTATTGCGACTGGTGCCAGAGACTGCGATTGGCCGCGAAACGGTCCGGAAATTCGGTCTCTCCAGAAGAAAACCTATGTTTGCTGCGTCAACATACCATGACAGCGACGTCCCTAGGTTTCGTGTTGCGGTCCTCTGTTTGATAGGATAGTGCATCCTTTCGTGGCACCGTTGGGCTAAGCACTCCTCCTCTGTCACTTTCCGAAGCACTGGTAGACGCATTGCAGCGACACAGTGGAGTCCCGCGTTAGATACATTAAAGTCACTCATTGATGACGGGTGCCGGCCGGGCTCCAAAGGCTTTACTGTGACACGATGGATCTTTGCGAGGAACAGAGATGATATTTGATTGAAAGGTTCTAATGTACAAACCCGTTCCCTTACCCTTGCGGTCAACCGGTCTTATGTACCGGCTTCGACCCTTTTTTACGCCTCAGGAAACGGCTGCTTTGAAATCACATTCAATTGTCGTTTCGCAAGAGACCCGTTGCTGAAAGGTCCTCTTTTCGGGGTTAGTCTGTTGCAAACGGTCAGGGGACTTAGTCTGTTGCAAACGGTCACGGTCAGTTGTGTTCTGCAGCGCCGCGTGCTTACACCACCGACGAGATGTTGCGGGTAACGGAGGACCAAGCGAAGGCGTTGGTTTCGGAGGATAAGAGAAAAGGTGAGACTTGAGTGACGGGTTCGGCTGAACTGGTGGCGACTAAGCGCAACGACTGCCTTGGTTCAAGGATCGATGCTTACCTACTCTGCTGAGTGCGAGAGCGGTTCAGGAGAATCGGTAGGAGAAAAGGATTAAGGAATGGGGTATGGGCGCTGATGGGACTACACTGCGTTTACACAAGGTGCAAAGTTTACATTGTTCACTTTTCAGAAAAGCGTTTCGGTCCCCAATTGCTTGACTGGTACCATATTACGCGAATACTAAGAAGTAGTATAACGGTACAGCGCAAGGGCTTCGTGTCCAATTCCGGGCTTCATCCCTCTGTCCGAGATGGAAGCGCACTTTCGTGCTCAGGCTGTGTCTTCCGATAAGCACAAGAGCCGTTGACTTCGTATATTTCCCCGTTTCCTTTCGAGTTTGTTGTTTCAATGTTGTGATGAAGTAAAAGTGTGGTGTCGTTTGACTGCTTGCAAAAAGTCAGAGTGGTCAGACTGTGCAGCTTGAAGATTTGGCCTCCATAGCAATATAAGGAGCCGCCTTGTGTTCCTGCTTCTGACATGCTTTGAGAGGCATGCCTCCGTAAGTGAGTCGAAATTTGGCTATAAGGGGTTAGCGGCGACCAAGATTGGTGAGCGTCAGCTCTGTCCTCAGCCGTGCACCATGCGCATTGCTTCGCTTGATCTATGGCTTTCAATAAATACGCTGGGCATACTACTCGATCGGAGCAAGCGTGAAGCCTGCGGTCGGGACCGGAAAAGGAGAGGGTGTAGAATCAAGCACACGGTGGTCGTTGCAACATTTGACCGTCCTTCTCTGACCTTCACTGACCGTAACTTGCTCTGTGGCTGACGTTCGACCACCTATTTGTCCTGTTGTTAACGCGACGTCTGACCATATGTTTGACCTCGTCACTTTACTGTGGTCGATGCGACAAGTGGCCAGCTGTCTGACCGCGTCACTTTCCTATGATTGACACAACTTCTGACCATACTTCTGATCACGTCACTTTTCCTGGATCAGCTGCGGAGGCTGCTGCTTGGGGCGGTCAAGTACCAAGTGCACGGGCGAACGACGGGGCCGCAGAGAAGCCTGCGGAAGCAGAAAAAGTGGGGAGCACGAAAGAGTCGTCGTCATGAGCTGTCATTCGATGGTCAACTTTTTTGGGAATCTGATTGCATCACTGTTGAACTTGTGTAGGCTTGAAGAACGGTTTGAAATATTATGCGTGCATGAGAATGAGCCTATTCTGATTCAGGTTGCAAGATGACGCAGTTGAGAGCAGCGGTCGGAAAGATATGATAGGCTTGTAAAATAGTGGTAATTTGGCACCATTCAGCTGCTCTCAAGCCGTCGCAGGACATTGTTGTAATCCCTGCTCCCAAAGCACTGCATTTTCGATGGTAGGTCGGCCTACATCGGGCATGCTCGGGCTGGCGGCCGCCATGACGAGTCACAGATGGAATCGCGTTTCGCCTCCATGATTAGCCTAGGCCGGGAGCGCATCATGCGTGGCGGGTCAAAGTATCCAGGCAATATGGCCGCCACGTAAATCAGCATTACTAGCTAGTATGGGGCGCCTGGCCAGCTATACATTGAGTCTCTGATCGACGTGACTAGCTCATGGTGGCAGTGGTCGGGCTAGGTACGCACTGCACTAATTTGTGCCATAGCTTTCAATTCTTTTGCACAGCTATTCAATTGCACTATCCAAGAGAGTCATTTGCCCAGAATATGAATGTCCGGGTCTGCCGTCATGACGATCTGACACGTTCAATGCACGTATACTCCACTCGATTATATAGAAACTAAAGTGGCGCATGCAATCCAAAGTGACCGCAGGCGAGCGTCACTGTCACATATGCAGTATATGGCTGCGGTATACAAATCATGCAATTGATCGAAACTACCAATTATACCGTTATACGTGCCGGGGCAAACTAAGATATTTGAGATCCCCAACGCGCTCTGCAATTAATGGATCATGCATTTGAGCTAGCCCGTAAATAATCTCGTATGCAGCGCATCAAATCTCAACTAACTATACAGAAAGAGCTTATTGCGAGAGAAATAATTCCCATCAGGAACAGTGTGCAGTCGCGGCTGCGTGGACGTGGTTAGATTAAAAGAAGTCAACGCAGCAACCTGGGCCCAGGACTTCGAGTCGGCCAGGACAGCGCTGCGCGGCAGTGCATTTGTCAAAGCACTGATGGAAGTGCCCAAATCATGGATGAAGGCATCCGATAATGGACGGATCCAACCTATTGCAGGCTAGCCTAACCTGAGTCCGACTCACTGCACCTAGATTACCTTTTTATATCGAACAGAATCACATTGTGAGCTCCAGGGGCCTACCGTACATTGCATGTGTACTTTTGATTCGACAAACTCGCGCGAAGCCTCACCGTCTAGGTCTAATTGCCATGCGCCCTATCCCTACCCTCCAAAGCACAACAAGGCCTGGCATAAGCTCATCCATGACTGTGGATCAGTCCTAACAAAGGGTGGCCTCCCCAAATTCTTCTAAATCCTACTCACTAAATACCAGTAAGCAAGTAACACTGTAAGCAGATACGTGCTCTGCTGCTCTGCTGTCCACCTCTATGCTGTCACCGTCTACATGTAAACGGATCACGGCGGCTAGATAGAACGCCAAATGTTCCTACCAATCTAGAATTACTTGATCTCATAAACCATCAGGAGCATCAGCAGTTGGGCGCGAGGCATATTGAGTGCATCTGTCGGCGACAGGCTTACATCAAGAAGAACGTTGTAACACCACAAAAGCTGCACGCAAAGTTCAAAAGACGTCAGCATGGCTCTTGACGCAGAATCAAACCTCTCTTAACGGTTGAACCCTGGTGTCGATCGGACAAAAAGATACGGCAAAGCTTAGACTACGACCCAAAAAAACTGAGGAAGGTCATCCGAGCAAGACTCTACCAAGCAAACCTCCCTCCCGTCTTTGAATGCATGAGCTAAGTACGAGGACCAGATTCGCAGCCCTCGTTCGCAGCGCGACTCAAATAAGCAAGACAACCGACATGCATGCCACACTCTGCCCGGGTATCATGTTGTTCAGGAGAGTTGGAAGTATGCTTACAAAGACGGCGCATAGAGACGAGGCACCGAAATTTGGATCCCGATCAGCGTCAAATACGCTTCCCCGCTCCAAAAGAGAATAAAGACTTTCGACGTGCAGGAAAGAGGCGGAGTTGCAAGGGTACCCGGAGCTGTCAAAGGAAAGGCGAGTGACTCACGAAACGTTGCATGTGGGTAGCGCTCTTGGCGGGCTTCAAGATGGGCTTCGTCTTGATGTACATGATCTCGTGCTGCGCCGCTTCTTTCACCAGGCTCATTTGCCAGCCCCGTTCGGTCAGGCTGAGCCGGATCGGGCGCTTCTTGGGTGTGTCCAACGCGGACGGAGACCTGCGGGATTCTTTCATCACTCAGCCGTCCGTTTGACCGGTACGGGCACATGATTTACTCGCCGATTAGGGTTTCGGATACTAGCAGCAACCCTACTAGACTAGCTTCCAAGGCGTTAAAACAGCACAACCTATGTAATGGAGATAGAATCGCCATGTTCCTCATGGAAGTACTCACTTAGGTTAGTCTTCAACCGGGATTGGAACACAGACTTAGGTGATACTCTCACCGAGGAGTATCGGTGGGGCCTGGAACTAGAGCGGTGGGAAAAGAACTGCTGTATAGGTGCCACTCTCACCGAGGCGTGTCGGCACGGCCTTGATTGAGAGCGGTGCCAGGGAAAAGAACCGCAAAATCGGAGGTACTCTCACCGAGGCGTGTCGGTAGGGGCTTGAACTAGAGCGGTGGAAAAAAGAAGCGCATAATCGGTGGTACTCTCACCGGGGCGTGTCGGTGGGGCCGGGAACTAGAGCGGTGGAACTGCCCACGTGCGAGAGCGCGCTGGAGCTCGACACGTGGGACATGGGCGACCCGGGGCCGGAACTGGGCGTCCGATGGAGCAGCTCCTTGGTGGAACCGTAGGCTAAGTAGTGCGAGATCGCGCAGAGCACCTGTTGCGCGAACCCCGTCGAGTGGTCGGGGTCGTCCATGTAGCCGTAGCGCGCGACGACGC